TATAAAAAAAAAAAATTGAATCAAGTACATTTTATACTTGATTTAAGTATTCACGTTATACTTAAAAAAAGTTTATTATTATTATTATTATAATATTATTATGTTGTTATATTATATAATATAGAATATATCACATTTATATATTATATACTTTTTATATTATATTACTAATATATAATTACAGCGATTAATTTTCAATTAATATTCCAATGCCTTAATTAGTTGGAGTAATAGATAATGGAGCGATAGATAATTATTATATTGTTTAAACGAATTAATGAATAAAAATTTTCGTCAATCGTCATGCAGTGCTTTTCCTGAAAATCCTCTGTCTCTTAAAAAATAAATTCTTTCGTTTCCAAAGAAATAATCGATTGCATTCCCCACAGCTATATATTCCCAGCTTCCACATGTGACCCTAATTGTGAATGTCGTTTTAAAATCCTCCGACCCCTGGGCGAAATGCCAAATAATGTCTTCTCTCCTTTGAATTCTCCTCGAGGGAATTCCGTCCAATCGGTAATTTCCCTCTTTCTGAAACTACCGCTGCCCCTAGATCCATAAACTAAATAAAAATATAAGGAGAGTAGAGCCCGTGTCATATTTATAGAGTCGGTTCTCATAAAAACTCATTCACGGAAAAAAGAATGAGGCAAAAGGGAGAAAATGCGATTGAAGTGGGAGAACGGTGGAGTAAAAAAGGGGAAACTGGTGACCAGGGGACATTGGAATCCCCTGTGCCTCTTGCGACAGAGTATAATTCGTAATTTTCTCCCTCTTCTCCTTTTTTTTCGTTCGAATCGTTTCATTCTTTCCATTTTGGTGTACCTACAGCACCCCCAGTTCCACTGTGATATTTCAACTCTTTGAGAGCGAGAAAAAGACGTCAAATAATGGGAATGAGTCTCATGGACTTTTTTCACGGCCTCTGATCGTTCATTTTTCCCTCATTGTGGAGTTTTGTGAGTTCTATTTTTTTTTCTTTTAATTAATGGTGGAGATAAAGTGCGCATACTGGGTATCAGAGGTTTTTAATGAATTGATACAATCAGGGTAATTTGAGTGGCTGTTTTATTTATTCAATCAG